GGGGGTGGGGGGCCGTCACAGGAGTATTGTGAGCACAGGAGAGACAGTCTCCCTACTCTCAGTTCTTCTGCTTGGTGCCGCAGCAATCGCTGGTCGGTGAAAGGAGCAGTTGCAAGGAATGTCCTGCTCCGTTCCTGCAACCTTGGGGTGGAGTATGCTGAGTCACAGGGATGGTGCATGTGAAATGTGGTCAGACCATAGGAGCTGTGTGGGGACAGAGCATGATCAGTACAGATGGAATCTTTGGAGAACTTCAGGCCACTCTCTCAAGTCTCTAATGAGCATGTGCAAACTGAGATTTTTTTCAGAGGCTCTGAACGTGGACAGATTTGAGCAGATTTTCACTAAGATTGCAAAAAGCACGTCCTGGTACTATGGCAACACCCTTGCCAAATTTCAAGTCCATGCTCCCAAGCATGGGAGTGTTAGAGCTTCTTAACAATACAGTTGTACGAATTTTTTAACATGGGGAAAAACAATGTATTTTCCCCTGCTCTTGTTTATGGAAATGGTTGAAGCAGGGCCGGCGCAACCCATTAAGCGACCTAGGTGGTTGCCTAGGGTGCTACAATTTGGGGGGCGGCGACTGCGGCGGTATTTCGGCGGCGGGACCTTCCTCCGCCTCTTGGGGGGGCGGCATTTCGGGGCGGTACCTTCCGCCACCTAGGGTGGCAGAAAAGCTGGTGGCGCTCCTGGGTTGAAGCATTGTCTGAAATCTTCCTCCCTCCCATCCCCTCACAAAAAAAAATTGTGGACAGCCGGCATGGTAAATTTCATCCCAAACAATTAACTTTGGCAAAGTTATAAGCAACTGAAAACAAGATCTTAAAATGGAAAGCGTTGGTCAACCTCAACTATACTGTGCTGCATATCATTATTTGTATTGCAGTACTGCCTAGAGGACTCCAACTGAAATTGGAGCCCCGTTTTGATGGGCATGGTACACTCAGTGAGAGACGGTGCTTGCCCAAAAGAGCTTACATTCCAAACAGACAGGACAGACAAGGGATGCTGTTGAGGCTAGAATTAACTAGGTAAAGTTAAGAGACAATTTTTCCGTTAATTGTGCTTAGTGGTATCCACAATTTGGTGAGAATTGGAGATGGTCATTTTAAATTTTATCTATGTGATGATTTAGAATCACTTGGTGCTTCTGTATAACGAGGCTTGGCAGAACTCTATTTTTTTAAATAATTTCAACAGATAATCTCAATGTTTATTTTTAAGCATTTTTTCAATTTTTATCAATTTAAATTTTCACTGTTATGCAAAATTATGCATGTGGGTATGTGTCAGACAGTGGGAGGGGGTCTGACAATGAATGACAATAGACATTGAGATTCAAAAAAATGAAAGCTTTAATTGCTAAAACACAAATTGTCAACATCACATGTCAAAATATACAGAGTAAATATCTTTAAATCAAAGTCTAGCTTTCAAGCAGCATTTTTCTTACTTTGACTATCTGTAAATTTCAATTATTATTGATGGAAATAGTTTTTCATTGTTTTTTGTGTGTACAGTGATACTTACTGATGAAAAATCTAATCCTTCCAAGCCTGTGTATAAGAGTTTGCTTTTTAACTGGAGCTTGTAATTTACTCTTTTTAACCCCCAACTGTAGGTAAAAGGCATGTGTTCAAACTTACCAAACCTTTCAGTTTGACTCTAGAGCTCAGATGTATGAGGATGCTGGAAAACCTCTGGTTATTTGTACATAAATGAGCAAATCAAGTGCCAAGTTGATCTAGTACAGAGGAATAGGTCAATAACTAAGGCACAGCTAATTTGGAGTTATGCTTGTCTGCATTGTCTGTTTAGCATGCAAGCTATTCAAAGCAGGAACTCCCTTTCATTATACAAAAACAACAAGGAGTTCGGTGGCACCTTAAAGACTACAGACGAACACGGCTACCCCCTGATACTTCCCTTTCATTATGTTTATGTACGATGCTACTGAGGCATAAAAGACAGGTGTAAGTTAAAATAGCATTTCAGCTTCACTCATCCCTTTACCTTATAGTCTCTTCCTGCCCTGTTGGTGTCCAAGTTTTGCATATGTTTTTTTTAAAAGAAAAAGCAGGTGGAGTTGTGGGGTTTTTGTTCTTAACTGCACATTGTAATAAAAGGTTTCAGAGTAGCAGCCGTGTTAGTCTGTATCCGCAAAAAGAACAGGAGTACTTGTGGCACCTTAGAGACTAACAAATTTATTAGAGCATAAGCTTTCGT